CCCCCCCCCCCCCCCCCCCCTCAGTCCCCCTTCCCACGTGCGCCGCTTTCGTTCTGTGTGTCGCGGTGTAACCCCCCTCTTCAACGACAACATCAGCCTCAGGTCTTCTACAACCGCGCCTTGAAAGGGCAAGATCGAACCAAGATCCTGGACCTCAAGCGAAAACCCAGCGCCACCACTGCAGGCAAGAACGCCACGCACACGACGCCAGCCTCAGACCAGCAGCCGCTTTCGAAATACTCCGGGGTCGACCCGGATGATGACCTCGCCGCGTTGACCAAGATCCTGCCGCCGAAGATCGTGTCCTGGACGGAGCCCAGCATTGACCGGAGGCGGAGCATCGGCGGCAGCTCTGATGGTCCTTCTGCCGCTGGCGGCGGCGGCGGCGGCGGTCGAATCGGCGGCAGTGGATACGGGCGGAGCGGCGGGAGGCCCGGAGGTAGCGGGGAGAGCGGGCATCTTCGGAATGGTGGCATTCCATCGTCGTTCTCGGCAGGCCGCGGTGGCGGCGGAGGCGGCAAAACAAGCCTCAGGCTGAATCCAGAGAATGCTCGGCACAGCTTTTGTGGTTGGCAGAGCCCACGAGGGCACGCGAATGGAGGACATGGTGTCGGCGGTGGTGTTGGCCGCGGCAGCAGCAGCATCGGTGAGAATGTTGCTTTCGGCAAGAGACAGGACTGTCGCGTCTACGGCTGGGAACGATCCCCGACCAAGTGCAGACAAGACGGCGGCGGCGGAGGTGGTAGGGGCGTGGACGAGAGCACCTCTATCCAGAACGTGCTCACAGCCGCGCAACTAGAGATCGAGGACCGCCGCAGTACTAGCGCTGAACTCTGCAGCAAGAATGTCATCCCGAACCCCTTGCGAACGCCCTGGGTAGCCCGCACCGCCACGATCGATCCCCCCAGCGTGCCAATTCCAGACCCGCTACCACTCCCACCTCTCGTGGCCCCCACGATCCAGGCCAGCCTGCCTGCGGTACCCAACAACAACCACCCTGCAGCAGACCCAACTTCGCTGAGGCTCGTCTTCGCCTCTCCTACGGACGCTCTCCAGCCCCTGTCTCCTCCGAAGCAGGTCGGCGTCAACGTCGGCACGCCCACCCGCAGCTCCCCCTTCACCAGCAGCCGTGATGCGTCGGTCGAAGGGAAGAAGTTCGGGAGCTTCGACGTGAAGAACTTCGGGGACAGCCTCCTAGGCAGCGGCGGTGATGGCGCCATGGGCCATGGGGATACAAAGCGGGAGGGTCAGGGGAGAGGCTCCGTGCCCTCCTCCGCAGATGGATCGACCAGGGCTTCGAGCGCAGCGCAGCTCGGGAACGACATGGTCACCAAGGCGTTCGGGAGCGGAGGAGGCTGTGGAGGGGCTGCCGCGGCCGCGCTTCTTCTGTCGTTCCCGGGCCCCGAGCCTGGACAGCCAAGAGGAGGCGTTCTTTCGCCCAATCGGGTGCTCCCTTTGACTCCCTCTCCGTTGTCTCTCGATCGCCCCGAGGACCGTCTGCTGGGGACCTGGTAGCGGGACAAAACGATGCCGCTTCTTGTTCTCCTGCTGCCGGTCAGCTTGTCGACAGAGATCCTCGGCGACGGGGATTCGCCACGCCGTTCTCTCCGAGGCACGGGGATTGAGGTACTGACAAGAGCGTTGTGCGGCTTCGTACTTACGGTCATTGCACCCCTCCCAGCGCACACTGCTTAGGCTCGAAGCCAGGCGTGCAACGTTGCACCAACACACAGCTTTCGTGCCCCAGTACAGGAGACCGGAGATTCCAGGAAAAGCACCACAGGGGGGGGGTCCGCACGGATTTATACGCGAAAAAGCGAATGCAATGACAGAGGAAGAGGAGCTGTTGGGTCAACTCAACCAGATTTGTTGTTCAACACTGGGGTGTTCAGCATATCGTACACACTTAGTTGTCGATGCGTTACGGGGAAGACCATGCGGAGGGTCCCATGGTGAAGGCATTGCGGAAACGGTTTGATCATCGGAGATATCGAGGGACAGGCAGAGTTAACTTCGTTTGAGCCTATTGGTTTGTTGGAGCAATGGCAATGTACGGGTTGTCCTCACGAAGGAAGGCACTGGGTCGTAGACGAGAAACAATCAATTCCTGGTCGTCGCTTGGGAGGTTGAGAAACACGTCGCGAAGGACATGGCGCAAAAATGCCACAGGAAACGAGGGAAGCAGCTATCAAAAGGGAAGAGGCCAGAGGGGGGGAGAGAGAGAGAGAGAGAGAGAGAGAGAGAGAGAGAGAGAGAGAGAGAGAGAAGAAGAAGAATTACAAGAAGTTAGAGAAGAGATCGGGAAAGCTATAAGCAACGAGGAGAAGGGGGCAGGGGCGGAGAGAGCGAATGAGGCAGAGATACATGAGGCAAACAGAAATGACGAGGGAGAATTGAACCGTGGGTGGCTTTCATGACGACCAAGGCCTTCCATTCGAGAGCAGGAGACAAGACCACCCTTCCATATTCTTCCGTGGGCCTCGAGAAAAAGTATGTTCTTGGTTGATGGTCCAAATACATCGAAGAACCGTCCCAATCAGATACAAATATGCCCGGGGGGAGGTGAAAACGTGTGCCATCACACCCGAAACATCAATATTTACCTATGAACCCCGCTAGGCATGTAAATGTCAGGACGTGAGTACAGAACTACACAAGACTTTGCTCACAACACAAACTAACACGGCGATATTTAATTCCTTCACGTTCCCCATCTTTTACCCCGTCCCCCCTTTACCTACAAGTACGTTTCTCTCGAAACCTGAGAGTTACTCTTGACGACTGCCTCTGAGTTTCTACTCCTTAGGGTGAAAATCAAGGTGAGCACAAACAAACACCACGGATCGTTCTTACGATTGTTCTCGTCGTTTTCCTTTCGGGATGGTGCTGTCTACACATCTATGGTTCATCCAGTGGAATTTCTTGAATCACTACTGCATCTTCGACGTATCCTCGTGCAAGCTCCACTGCAGAGTCACCACGCCTGCTCCATCTAGTAGCTCCACCTCGACGGTCCCATTGCGCCGCTGCCGCCCGCGGCCGCCCCCCCCACCGCCACCGCGCAAGTCTTCCAGTGGGACGGGGATGCACGCCTCCGCCAAGAACGCAACCCCTCCTTGCCCTCCTTCTCCCCGTTTCCAACCTCCCCGCCCCCCTCCGCGTTGCTCCTGTACTTTCTTCCCGTCCTCCAACGCTACGAAAAGCGCGGGGTCGTCTAGCCCTTTCAGCGACAGCCAGAACTCTCCGTCCCTCCAGGACGGGTTCCGGCTGCCCGGACGGGCTGCGCCGCGGCTCAGGAAGCCTACCGCCTTGGTACCGTCGTTGTGGTTGCGGTTGCGTTGGACTCTTTTACTGCCGTTCGACCACGCGTCGTCGTCGTTTTCGTCGTTGTCGATGTTCTTGTGGTGGAGCCAGAGAGCGTCGTGCTCGTTTGCCCGCTCTCCGGTTGCCAAGATGAGGCGCGGAGAGGTGTGGCGCGCCGCCGACGCCGCGATCTTCAGGTCGAACGATGGCTCCGTCACGCGAAGAAACAGGCCTGTTGTTACGAGTCGGCTGTTGTCGGCGGCGTGGTCCTCGAGAGGTTTCACCTCGGTGAAGTGGACGCGCACGGGTTCGGGGTCACCTGAAAATAGTACACTACGGTCGAGGCGAGTGGAAGGGGGTACGAACGTCGTGTGGAAGGTCATTTTTCGGCGATTGTTGTCGACACTGAGGGAGATCACGATTCGTATACGTAGGGCACAATGAACACGGACGAAAGCGTTATGTCAGTTTCGTTTGTGGGTTGCGTGGGATTGAAGCGTCGCCTAACAACCAATATCCATCGTGACAAGAGAAAACAGAGAGATGTGGAAAAGAGGGCCGTAGTATTAGCCTGACCGAACGCCGCTTAACTTCACCACAGATCTCTTCGTCGACGCCATGGTGGAAAAGAGGGTTTCGTCCTCGACAGACATTTCTAGATTGTACCTTTATCAAGGTGGTCTCCACAGAGACGAAGAAATATTTCGCGAATTTGTGAGCGAAATTCGCGACCTCCCGGGTGCCTGGACCACACAATCAGACGAAAGGGGCTTAAAGAAAAGAGGGAAAAGGACCGCGGGCGGGAGAGGGGAAGGGAAGGGGCAAGACAATACGGAAGTAGCAGGGGTTCGAAGAACAGGGACGAAGGTACCGCAGAGATCGGGGGGGGGGGGGGTACCAAAGAACACCAACTTTCGGTGGTAGGGTGGCTATTGTCATTCGTCGCTCAGGCTTGGAACCCTTGAACACAGAGTATTTGTTTGCCGGGACGCAGAAAGACCACGTGTTCGCACCTGTAGTACTCTTCATCGATGACCTTGACGACCTTCGCCGCTTCCCACTTCCTCCCGCTTGCCCCGTCGTCGTTCGACGATGCGGCCCTGCGGGCGACGACTGGGTCTCCCGCATCCAGCCAGCGCGATTTCGTAGATTGAGGGTCAGTCTTTGCCCGAGCCGAAGATTTCGATTTGTGCGTGGTGCCAGAAGGGTCCGTGTGGCTGCGGGAAGATGTTTTTTTTCATGTCAGGCGAGGGGGGAACGTGTCCCATGGAGGGATTGTGAGATTTTCTTCTATGAAAGATCCACATTCCTTGTCGAACATGCTCTTGACCAGGACGTTAGTTGCGCGGAAGGAGCTTGCGAGAGGTGGGAGGGAGTGGGGGAGAACAAGAGCGTCGGTTTTGCGCGCAACATGCGAACGAGCTGGGTCGGTATTCGACACAGTCTGACGCGCGTGTCGAGAAGGAATGGTGAACAACATAGACCATGAGATACCTCAGTTTTTTCGAATCCAGCTCTTTTGTGCCGGAGCCATCGGCGAATTCGACGCGGTACAAGCCCTTTCCCAGGTATGCGTCCACTGTGACCCTCGTCCAGTTCTTCCTCCCCCAACCCCTGGTCTGCGCGAAGGCCATGTCGCCTGCCTCGAATTTGTTGTCTTGGCGGTGGAAGTCGTCACCGTACTCCTCATCGCTTCCCACACGATCTTGGTAGCGGCCGAAATCGTTGTTGCTGCTGTTGCTGCCGTTTCTGTTGTTGTTGCTGCCGTTTCCATCGCCGCCGTCCTTGTCGTTGTTATTGAGGCGGCGACGAAGGCGGTTTTCGGCGATGCGGTCTTCCTTTGGGGAGCCGTCTTCGTCGTACTCCACCGCGAAGGTGCCGTTGCTCCGGACGAAGACCACCTTGCCGGACCTCCATGACGTCTTGTCCTATTATTGCGAAGCAGTATAATAGTTTCATTTTTTAGCGCCCGGGTTGGGGGGAGGCTGGAGGGGATGGGGAGGGATGGAGACTTGCCTCTTCGTTCTATCCCTTGAACGTTGGTCAAGCACGTTATGGAGAGAGGAGGGAAAGGGCACGTATGTGGTGTGCTGTCGCCCTAGGGTTGGTCGGTTGACACCGTCGACCGTGCTCTCCGTTGCGGAGGAAGCGAGAGAGACACGCAGGTCTTTCAGGAGGGGGGGGTAGGTGGCGGGTGGGGCGGGGCATACTCATACTGCGTCACCTATGTGACTCCTTTCACTGTTCGTGTGTACGTAAGATACTGGTTTATATTTTATACTTGTGCTCATCGTACCTGAAGGTCGGCGTCTTGCCGTTTGCCTCGCCTCAACACATACACATCTGAGCCGATGGTCAGAGGTCTGGTCTCCGAAGAAGCACCTCGATTTCCGTCTCCCTCACGCCTAGTTGATTGATCAAGTCGCGAGCGGACAGGCAGGGCGGGGAGGGCGTCGGGAGCGAGACGGCGGATGCGTACAAGTAAATTGCTGTTGGTCTCCTTGTTCATGGCTTTAGCCAGTAGTGCATCCCAATCTAGACGAAGGTTAGTGCTAGCATCATTTCAACTCCTCTGTGACGGAGTCACTTCCTACACTCCATATTTCTCGTCGCGGTTGGTGCTCTGTCCACACATGCCCGATCTTTGCCTTTTCAGGTCGCTCTGTGAGACATGAACTCGGCGGAAGGGAACCATCTGTGCGACGTTTGGTAGTACAGGGTGCTTTTATCGATGCACCGGACAAAACCCGGCCCCTCAACCCCAACACCAGCAGCTACTGCTACTCAGATTCGGCAGTTTCACCGGTTGCGTGGTGTTTCGTCTCTCTCGTCGTAGTCGGTGCTGCCGCCACCCGCCGACGCTTCACGCTGCTGCCGCGGCTTTTCGACCCTTTTCTCTTGGTGATACCCTTCCTCGCTGCCGCCTCTGCTGCGGTGGCCGCTGTGTGCGTGGTAGTCGTGTCCGTTGTTGCCGTCCCAGCCTTCGTCGGACATCGTGTGCGATTCTGTTGGTATACGCTCCCCAACCGCCATGTCGTCACGAGGGCTACGCTTTCCGCCGCCGCCGCCGCCGCCGCCGTTCCCAGTGGCGCCCTGGCTATCCCCAGCGAAGCAGGCGAGATCTAGGTGCCGGATATGCTGGAATGGTACCCCGAGGGCGTTGGGGCTTCCTTCTTCAAGGAACTGTAGGTCGTACCTGGAGGAGGTCAGGAACGAAAACGTTTAAGGTGCCAGTTGAAGGTTCTATTGTTGGTTTCGTTTCGTTGCGTTGCCCCGGTGCGGCTCTTCTTGATTCGACGTTATTGCGCGTCGAGTCCCCGGAAGCTGAAATGAAACTCGAGCGTGAGCCGACTGTTTGGGCCTGAGAAAAACATGAGTGTGTGTTGCCTTATGACAAGCACACCACCTTCACAGAGACCTAACGGTCGGTCGATATGATTCGTTTTTGACCACCGTACAGGAGTGAGTGCAGGAGTATCCAAGGACTGGGTAGGTAAAGATTCGACTACTATCGTGCTTCACTGCTGTTGTGAACGCGAGGATAGCGTTTCGTTAGTTCCGCCAGCACCACTCGAACCTACAAAATGGAAAAATACTTCGTGAACAACTCACATCAAATTTACGAATGAAAACTACTCGAACGAGCGTCCACCCAAAAGCTAGTGCCATGGCGCGATGAAACAGCGAGAAGGGAACGGAATCGACAGAGAACGTGACGCCCGTTCATCGCCCCTTGTGTTGTTGTCTCTCTTTTCTTCCCTCCCGCCCTCTCTCTCGCTTTTGTCTGTCTCTGTCTTTGTCTCTGCGTCTCTCCCTCTCTCCCTTTCCGCCTCCCCGTCTCTCCGTATTGTCTCAGTATATACATCTGTCTATGTCTACCCACTTGCTTCTATCTCTGTCTCTTCAAGGCACCTTGATTGCCGCTTTTAGCTTAATCAGCGTCTCTCATTTCTTCATACCTTCCCGAGGGAAGAGCCTCCAGCACCTTCACAATGACCCACTTGCGCGTCTCCGAGTGTTTCGTGAGGGCTAGCTCGCCCTTCTTGAACCTTCGCTGCCGGATGGCGCGCGGCGACGGCTTGTCGTTGTGGTCGTCCTTTTCCTCTCCTTCCGCATGGCCAACAACACGTCGAAGATTGACAAACCTATCTCGAAATAGTAGGGAAAGGTGATTGGTAGGGAGGTGGGAGGGAATACCTACAATCGCGCTTGCCGTGCGAGAAGGGACAATCTCATGCATTTTGTTACCTGCCTTATAGCCGGGGCTTTGACAACGGGCGGGAGGATGACGACCTCCGTTGGGTATTCGGGGTAAGGCTCAGGGGGATTGGGGGAGAAGTTCTTTCTGTTAAGCGTGCCTTGCGGTAGTCTTTGAGATGATCGCTGACCACGCACTGCAATATGCGACGGTGAGTATTGTCGTAGACTGGAGGGGGGGGATGGCGGGGGCGGGAAGTGGAGCAAAACCTCATGTACGTGTTGGTGATAGTTGTGTGACAGTCTTGGTTCAGACCTCTGTTTCAGACGAAAAGACGCTTCCTTTTCTTCAAAGATCAACGTATTCCAATCTAGTACCCTTTCACGTATGAACGTGAACGAGAAGCTGCACAATCTTTTGCTCGGTTTTGAGATGGGGGAGTGCGGGGGGGGGTGTACTCATGTACTCATAGTCGTGCATGCCGTAGTCGTTTGACCATTGACCTCGCATCCCTACAAAGCCGGGACGGAGCACGCCGGGTTCTCACCGGACCAGGCTCTCACATCACCAAGCGCGAAGCGCCGTGAGGTATTTGGCGAGTCGCATGAAGGGTGAGCTGCATCCTGCTAAGGGTGTTCGGCATCTTGTGCTTACTTCCTTGCGTACGGATGACAGCTACGTATGACTTAATTTATTTTCTGGTGCTTTCACTTCCAGAGACAGTTGTAAGCACTGTGTAACTGCCTCGAGGAAGCTTGACCATTTTAACACAACGTGGTGCGATCATCCCCCGTTGCGCGGAGTGAGGGTTCTCGACCCCGCACAACATGATCTACTCGACCACCATTATGGTTACCGCAAAAAAAAAAAACGAGGTAAAAAAAAAAAACGGTAACCTGATTGCCGAGTTCACGAAGTGAATTGGCTTGTTTTACAACGTCGTTGCCAAGCGACGAAAACCCAATCCCGATGGCAAACACCGAGTGGGGGGCTTGTTTTACAACGTCGTTGCCAAGCGACGAAAACCCAAACCCCGATGGCAAACACCGGGGGGGGCGGCTTGTTTTACAACGTCGTTGCCAAGCGACGAAAACCCAAACCCCGATGGCAAACACCGGGGAGGGGAGTGCGGGGGGGTGCGTTTTGAGATGGATGTCCAGCGAGCTCGTTGTGATCGAAGTAAAGGGGCTGCAGGACATGAGATATGTTGCAGGCGGTCGACGCTTGTGCGCGCTGCCGTTGGGTGGCTTTTCGATGAACCCGCGGTAGAGATATGCGCCTCTCCAACCTTTCTTAACTCGGTTTACCATTCAACCGGCGGACAGACGTCCACCTACACATACCCGTCGTGACTTGGTCGTCTTTATTTGCGACGTACAACGGAGAAGGCAGGCCGGAATATCAAAAGCATTACTGATATTGTCCAACATACCACTGTCTTGTTAGAAATCCGACAAAGACAATTTACACACGCGTTCGTGCCGATATACCTGATCTGGTCCGACTCGGTGCCGTCCGTGAAGGATATCGTGTATTTCCCGTCGCTTCCGCGCGCGGTGACAGCCCCCATGACCCACCCGCGACCGGGAGTTTTGGACAGCGCCAAAACCGCATCGCCCTAAAGTGTTCAAAGCGACCCGAGACCGTACAGAAACGTGGATTGGATTGGGTGAAGTTAGATGGGTAATCTGTAAACTGTATCATGCACGTTGGGTAACAGTTTATGCCCGGAGTCGATTCGGAGAGAGTGTTAGAGGGGCGTGAATCTCTTTGTTTATACAAGTGGAAATTCGGTATAATGTTTGAACAGTCTTTCACTAGGAGGGAAACGACAACGCGGTGCTCGTGGCGAATGGACGCTACTGTTTTTGTCTTCCCCCTACTATACACACATGCCAGCTTCACTCGATTGAATCACCAAGCAAAAATGCCACGATGGCCAGCAAAAAACGACGATATCGCATTGTTGCACGGACGAATGAAAATACTGCAATGTTCCTATGGATCTTATCACACGGCCACGTGTTGCTGATGAACCATCCAAACGGCACGGAGCACACTAGCTGTCAGGTGTCGCACAACCAAAACCGCGGGGATCCCACGGCACGTGCCACTGAGTTAGGGCTAGTCAGCGCTGTTGAGGCACCAGTAGATGTAATTCCATACTTGTATTGAAACCCTTGGTTTGGCTAACGCAGGCCTCGATTATGAGAAAAGTATCGTTTTGCTCGGCCGTACACCCTGTACTACCGTGGTTGTACATGTCGATCGTGTACCGTTTGAACGTCCTGCTGTTGATCGAGCCAAACGATCCAAGGAAACCTGCCGAATTTTTTCGCAACTACCGGCTACTGCTGTCGGTTCCGCATATGGCGGGGATTATATGTACGTGCTAACTCAGAGTTACTGACCATCTGCACTGCCTTCTGCCTGATGACGTTCCTGACGCGTAGGCGCTCTGCGACGACCCTCGACTCCTTGGGCTTACCCTCCTCGCCGTTATACTGCACGGTATAGCGGCCGCTCGCGACGGCGGTGACCGTGGCCACCCGCCACAGGTCCCTGTTGTGCATATCTTGCGAGGTAATCTCTACGGAGTGGCCACGCTTGAGCACGTACACCTATGTTTAGCGGCGTGTTGGGCGAAGGAGGGCGAGGGGAGGGGAATCTGCTGTCTGGCGGATTCGTCGTCGTGCTTCCGGCTTCATTGCCGCGTGTTCTTTGAAACACTAAAGTTGATGTCGTCGAAACCCGTCTGGACTTGCTGCCCCGCGCGTTGCGTTGCAACGAGAGAGCTTTTGGCGAGCTTTAGTTGATGCAAGAAGCTCGTACAGAAAGGAAACTTTGGCACCCTCCAGTCAATGGCCAGAGTGTAACCGATCGAAGTTTAGATGTGGGAGACGTGCAACATGGGAACCATCGACGAAACGGGGGGGGTACTCTACCCTTCAAATCTACCCACGAAAACCGACCAGCCGTATCACATTCTCCGATGCCATGCGTTTGTGGCCGATACAACGAGCAACTGCTGTTTCCCTCCACATCCTCTCTCACCGAATCCCCGACAACCGGATCCCTCTCGCCGGAGGGGTGCATTTCTGAAGTATCGCTGGTGATCCTGCCGCTGCGCGTGTCCACCTCGCCGCCCCGGTCATCCCCGCTGCTTTGCTCCGCGCTCAGCCCTCGCACAAACAGGAACGATAGATCTTCGGCCGTCGTCCCGTCCGTGAACCGTATATCGTACCGGCCGCCCCCGTCGGCCCTGGTGACGCTGCCGGGGCTCCAGAAGCCTTGGTCCGGCGCCTTCTTCGCGAGGACGGGTTCGCCCACGTTGAGTGCGCGTTGGCGAAGACGGACCGACGGGGTTATGCCGCCCGCTGAGCTCTCGGCGCTCAGGACGCGGCTCCGCCTCTCATCGCTGCCGGTGTCGCCGCCACCGCTCGCACCGCTCGCAGGCGCGCGGGTGGTGGCGTGGTGGCTGTCCGCGCTGTCGTCGCTGCTCTTCTTGTGTCCGACGGAAATCGCGCGCTTTCTCGAGGGCCCCTGCATGGACGCGATGTGCATGAACAGGAGGGGTTTCTCCCGCACGAAGTCCGCCCATTCCACGGAGTAGCGACCGTGCCCCTTCACCCCCGTGATTACGGCGGGCGTCCACTTCTTGACTGTGGGGATGCACGCCAGAACGATGTCCCCCTCCCGGTGCTTCTTGGCGCGCACGGGCTTCGTCGGGGGAGGGGGGTTTCCAGGGATCATTGCGTCGTCGTCGCCGGGGCGGTCGTTCCTCCTGCCCCCCCCACCCCGCGCGCTAGGATAAAGGAATCGCACTCTCGTCGCTTGCAGCCTAGACGACGCGCGCTCGCCGTCGAAAGTAACGTAGCAAGAGTCCGCATCGTCCTCGTCGTAGCTCCTGAACCGCGCCGCGAACCAGTCCCCCCTGTCGCCGCTCCTCGTGTCCTGCTTCCTAGTTTTCTGGGCTAGAACAGCGTCTCCGGTGCGGGCGTCGCCGCCGGGGGCCAGGTCTCCGCCCCTGCGAGGCCGGACGAAGATGCACGGCAGGTTATCCTCGACGTCGCCGGAGTCAAACTCGACGCGGCAGCGTAGGTTGTCACTGTCGGTGGCCACCACAACGCCGGAACTCCACACCGTCGAGCCCCCGCTCTTCGCGATGACCTCCTGCCCGACATGGAGGGGTGCCGGTAGATCGCCGCGCGCCAGCTCTAAGAGCTCCTCCCGTCTCTCCGCGTACCGGATCTCGGCCTCCTCGGCCGGCGAAGTGGCCTTCGTCTTCGTCTGAGAAGCTCCAGGTTGATCGTGGACGTCACAGCCGCTGTCAAAGCTGTTCTTCGGGCCGTCCTGAGCGCGGAGCATGGTGGGGTGGAAGTCTTTGCCCTCGGCCTGTCCGCCGGACACAAGCACGCGGTAGGTGCCGTTGTCGTTCCTCCGTATCACCTCGCCCAGGGTCCACTTCTTGTTGTCCTGGTTGGTCCTGCCGCCGCCACCGTCACGAACGAGCACAAGATCGCCGGCGCCGAAGACCCTCGAGCGAATGACCGTCTCCCCGTCGCAGTCTCTAACAACCCGACTCGAGCCCAGGCCGGGACCGTTGCCATCACCGCTGGCCGCTGCTCGGATGCGGAACTCGGGGACGTCCTCCCTTCGTCCAGTCTCCTCGCCGTCGAAGTAAACGCCGTACATGTAGGTCCTGTGACTCCCGCGGCTGTCGCCGCCGCCGCCGCCGCCGCCGCCGCCGCCGTCGCCACCGCCGCCTAACGGCTCGATCGTCAGCCGCACGGAGTCTACGGTAGCCGGAAGCCACGAATCCGAACCCTGCTTGCGGCATTCTACGGCCTGGCCCTCGTAAAACCTCGCCCCGTCGGAGTGGCAATGTTGCCTAGCACGACCTCTGTCCATGTTATCACGATTCTGGCTGCGGCTGCCGTGTTCGCGGCCGCTGCCGCTGTCCCCCCGCATCTCGACTAGTTCCAGCTCTGCGCGAAGACGCGCCGATTCCTTGCGCATCTTCAAGTTCTGCGCTCGCAGTCTCTCCAGCTCGGCCAGGCTAGCCTCGTTTGAGGCCGCTGATTGCTCTTTCTGCGACGACGACGCTGAATTGAACGACGTTGTGCGGCCTCTGATTCCGCTGTCGTGCTTGCTGTTCGATTCCGCGATGAGCCGCTCGACCCTGACTTGAAGCGCCTCCTTCTCCTCTGCGAGTTTCAGGGTGTACTCGACGGCTTGCGACTTGCGGAGCGCGGCGACCTGTTTCTCCTTGAGACTGAGGTCGGCCTTGAGGTCTGCCACCTATACATGTGCGTATTTGCGGGCGCCTAACATGATATACGATACAACCCTTTACAGTCGGTATCAGCGTTGTATTTAGAGTCGTTGATTTGCTTGGGAAACAAATCGCGCCTTGGAGGACCTTTCTCGGGTTTATACATATTTTATTTTTTTCTAGGTGTACCCCCTTTGGGGGCAGTTGGCTTGTGACCACGGAAGGCGTCCGCGTCAGTTGGAGCAGTACGGACATTAGAAGGTACTGAGCGGAGACCGGAACGGTTTTTTAATGTAAAGACAACAATAACAACAACAACAACTTGCGGAGAATATCGATAGGATCCACGATGTAGGACTAGACTCAATAACTTGCCCGTGAAATCAGGTTTCTGCTGGCGTGGTCTGCTCTACGCCGTGAAAAGTTCTCACATCACTCAAAAATTTCGATACCGCGTTGTCGGACAAAAGTAATACTCCGACCGGTATCGTGCTTACATTAGCATACGGAGTAGTGCATGAAAATATTTTTTTTACACTTTGTAATGAACATTTGGGCGCTCAGTTGATCGAGCTTCGCTCGCAAGCAAGTATGTTTATGTCTCTAGAACCCGCCTGCTCCATGGCGTGTTTCATTCGTGAACTCTTCTCGATGTCTTTGACGATGCTTTCCAGCACACAAGTATCAACGCCCCCCCGTTCATCCGTCAGCTGGCCAATGTATCGCTCCAGCTTGGCCATGTCCGCGCCTTGCCGCTGCAATTGAACCTGAGCCAAAAAAGAACCGCCCATCGACGGGCAATCTATCAAACGCTTTGAATGTAATGGGGTGTCTCCTCGCAAACCTATTCGCATGAATCCATTACAATGCATTTGCGCATCAAAACACTCAAGTTTGATACGGTAACTAAATATACTTCGAATTACTGTAGTCTACTGTAGCCCGGCAACGGCTGCTGCAACGACAGCGGTTTTTCGTTGCAAGCTTGCTCTCTTGTTGATATCACACCTGCCTCAAGGTGTTGATCTTTGTAAGACCACCGGTGTTCGACGCAAACATACCTCACACGGAAAACGAATTGTTCCAAGACTTGCAAATTACGGCAAGCAGCAACCAATCTGTGAATAAATTACTGTACATGCACCTGCGCTTGGGCCTTGGCTAAGTCGGCCTCGCTCAGTTTATCCCGAAGCGCTTCCACTTCCAACCGAACTTTGCCCATGGCTCGCTCGTCCACGGGGTCGACAGAGAGTCGCCTTGCGGCCTCCGCCGCCGCGCGTGGGGTTGATTTGGTGGCGCGATGCGTAGAGGGACGAACGGGTGCAGGGCGATTCCCATCGATGTTGTCGTTATCGTCGCTGTTGTTGGAGTAAAGTCTGTGTCGCGAAATGGAACCACCAGCAGCGCTCTCGACGCGCCTTTGGCGCGAAGCCGCTTCCATTGTGTCTGTCACCCAGGCCTTAGCCTTGTCCTGCAAATATATTATATGTCTACGTAACTGATTGATTCACGAGAGTGGCGGCGGGAGAGATCCGCATATACCCCTGGGTGAAGGTGTGTACCAAAGTAGCGGTAGCTTAGCTTGGGGCGGGTCGTCGTGAAGTGTTCCAACATCCGACGGTTACATTTTTGCGGCGGAATTATCGCGATTGTGCGAACTCTCTGGGTATGCTGATGTGATGCCAGTGACTGGATTGTTTGCAATCCTGGACAAGGCAGGTGCCCACAGCTCGCAAGCTACGCCATCAGAACATTGCTAATCAACATACACAAGCCTGCCGACATAGTTCGCTGGCCAGTCCGCAGGACGAGTCGTAGAGACTCGAGTGGTGCGGACGTCAACATTTCGCACTACCGGCTGATCCAAGGGTACGCGTCGCGACCAACCCACCTGCGGGCTTTGGGGCCGCCGGTCCAATCAGGGGTACCTGTGTGGAGTGGACGCTCGCCAGATCGGTCGAGACGACGCTCGCCAGATCCGTGAAGACGAGTACAACCATGGAAAGCTCTCAAGACGAGGTGAGAGATATGGCATGGGCGTGTGCATTTCGCCGGTCCAAACCGGCGCTATGTTGGCATGGGCGAAAAAAAGAAGCGAACGAAAAATGTACCGGCACATCGATCGAGCCCGCCGTTGAAAGATCGCCATCCGCGCGCCGCTAGGGCCTCCGCCTCGTGTGACCCCGAAACTAAGTCCCACATCTCCCTGGCGGTGAAGAAAAACAGCCCTCCATGTGTCTTCTCTGGCTTTTCCGTTTGTACCCTGATTGAGACGGACGGATCGCCCGTTGTGGTAGAAATGTATGTAGGTAGACTACAGATGTCTTGTTAGCGTCAGCATATGCATGTTACATTAGGATGTGCAGCAGTCTCAGGGTGCTTCACCAGCAACCGTTGCGTGTTCAAGAGACAGACAGACAGACAGAAAGACAGACAGACAGACAGACAGATAGAGTGAGAGACGGAGAGTTAGACAGGCAGACAGAGAGAGACAGAGGGAGAGGGCGGCGTGGTAAAACAAGACCTCAACCATCGAACCTTACAGCATTGACTGTGAGGCACTACATGTGGCACTACAGCAGTTTGCGATGCACGCCGCTTGTTACATATTGTAGAGGTACTGAAGTTTCTCTGAGTGAGGTACAGCAGTGTACAGTAGTTCTTCCGGAGAGGGTGCAAGTGAACAATATGTGAGAAGATTTTTTTCTTGAGTTCTTAGCATCCTCCACTTGTGGCTGGCCGTTATGTATATATATATATATATGTATTACGCAGCTTGCACATGTTGCGACATGTACACTGAAAGCAGTATATTCGCTCTAACTTCGAAATCGCTGCGCCCTCTAGGCGTACCCTGATTGGGCCGGATATATATTGCTTTAGTTAAGTATGCATACAGCAGTACAAGCGAGACGAGCATTATCAAAACTACAATTGGGAATGTACACATGGTTGTACTTGATCCACGCCGCCGGCAATTTTCAAGACGACCAGAACGTTAACAGCAGAAAACGAAGCGACGGCCACGTTTCGATACGCAGCGAGATCCTCCTTATAAAGGAGAGACGGCCGATGCACAATTGTGGTTTTATGAGTGAGTAGCAGCTGCCGGTCCGCTCAGTGTCGCTTTCTACTTTCGCCCCCCCAGAAAACCAAGGGAGCGGACCCACTCTCTCCGTCAATCTCAGACTTTCTTTCCTCGGTGATTGCGCTGTGCGCCACTCAGCCGAAGCATGCTACGAAAGACTAGATCACAATAAAAAAAGGAATTTATGGCCAACTGTAGACATTGTTCGGGGAAGGATACGTCAATGCAGAGAGAAAGAGAGACGCGCTGCGGGACCGGTTAAGTTCCGAGAGTGTTACAACTTGGGGGCCGGGAGAAATAGGCGCACAGTTTGGATGCGGCGTGCTATCCACCCACAGCAATGGATCCGGCAACACCAACACGGTTCGTGTTCAACCCAACCAGTCCGTCGTAAGGCGTTGATCGCTCCACCAACACTTGAACGGCAGACAAGACCGACGGTATACCGCCGAAGGCATGTTTGCGTACGCACCGCAAAACACACGCGTTTGTGACAAAGGCAAAGCCTATAGGTGGCTCCCCCGCTGCACCTCGGCCCTACTGGTTTTAGCAACGTGGTAGACTATTTATACAATCTGTTCGACCCACTCCCGGCTCTCTGGACAAATAAGATCCTGCAGGAGAGTAGTCGAGGTATATCGACGATATTGCAGATACCTACCATGACTTCGTTGCGTCTGCGACAGATACACAAACAGGGGCTACGGTAACGAAGAGCTCCAGCTCGATCCGTTCGTGCGGGACAAGGAGCCAAGACATCGCACGCCAACGACTCGAAGGGGTTTTCGCAGGCACCCGACGACGACGATATTTATCTCGAGCGCCAGAGCCTTGTGTGTAGACATCTGGGGATGGTGTGTCCTTCAACACGTTCAACCCCGCCTCGTTTTAAATCGTGCCGTTCCTCGTTTTGTTTCAACCTCTGCCGATATTTTCCTCAGGCTAAAGGGTCCTCGGGTTCCTCTTCGAAGGCGATGAGGCTCCTGGGTCTATCCAAGCTGCCGCCCGACGCGTCTCGCACGGAGCACCTGACCCTCATCCGGCAGCACCGGTCGGTGCGCAAGGAGCGCGTCAAGTCGTCCTCGCCTGCGTCCCTGAAGCGAGGCGGCTCGTACTCGCGGGTGATGTCTTCCGGCGGCGGCGGCGGCGGCGGCGGCGGCGGCGAGGCCAGCTTTAGCAGCAGGAACCCGGGGGAAGCAGACGGCACCTCCGTTCCGTCGTCGGCAGAGGGAGGGAAGTTAACGATTCAGCAGCCGCAGTACCCAGATCGGGAGGAAGGGGAGGAAGTCGCGACGCGACACCACCACCACCAACCCTCCGAGTGGCTGGACATGCGGGAGTCTTCGCTCAAGCTCACGCCGACCGACGTGGACGAGCAGTTCCTCAGGAGCGTCGAGAGCCTCATGAACCAGTTCCCGGCCCCGCCGACCCGCGACCACGCCACCGCAGCCGTGACGGACTTGACCTCCCCGTCGACCGCGGCGCTTGGTAGGTTTAAGGGAGACGGCCGCCGCGGGCTTCAAATGCCCAGGCCAAGCAGCCAGCGGAGGGGCGTGAGCGGCGCGGGCGGCGCGGAACACATGTTCCATTCTGGGCAGAACCCCATGTACCAGCACCACATGGAGAGCAGGCGGGGGGGCGTCGTGCGCGAGATAGACTCACCGATGCGGATTCGGTATGCCAAGGATGAGTTCTCCTTGTAGCTTTGGTTTCGTTACCTGTCTCAGCCACGCAAATGCATGTTTCTTGTGTATCCGTTGAAAGCTGGCCGATTTCTTCCGTACAGAGATGATGATGGGTGCGATCGGGGTCCTATGGTTGTTCCGGGGTAGCTGATAGGTAGAGGATGACCTGTGCGCGGGGATGTGTGCTTCCAAAAAGCCCCTCCATGCGTGTGGGAGAGACGTAGACCGAGAGAGAGATGTAGAGAGAGGGGGGGGGAGGGAGAGAGAGCAGAGAGACAGCGCGTTTGTTTGTAGTCATCCACATGGCGCAATCGTTCAGCGTTTTGCGCCAGCGCTTCCCGTGCTTAGGGTACAACTCACTGTCTCTGCGCCCCTCGTAGCAGCTTTCTGAGGGGGGTTTGAGTCAGCGCGTACAAGAATGAGGAGCTGTTCTCATAGACCCACCTGGCGTGAATTTTTGTTGTGGGCCCTACCCTGTCGTAGAACCATGTAGTCGACCACCGAGCTTCCTGTGTTTTAGTCTTCTTGTGTTTAGATTCGTGCACGGTTTGCCAAAGAACGCGGGTCGTTGTCTTGCAGGCCCAGCGACAGACATCGTGCGGTTGTTTTTAAAGAAGGGTGGCCGTAGAGATCGCCCGTGGGGGGCTGGTGGTCGAGACAGGAATAGAAAACCTCAGCTGAGGCTTGCGTTGGCGGGGGGCGGAGGGGGGGGGGGGGGGGGGGGGA